TAGTAAGCTCAGCAAATGTTTGCTGAAGAAATAACTGAATGATGGCAGCCTCTAATTCTCAAAGTTTCCATCCAGCAACTTTCTGTTCTCTATTTACCTTCTCCTTCCCATATCAACCATCAAAGAAAAAAGCAGTCCTCTGTGTCTGTCAAGGCACTTTTCTCATCCTTTGAGACTAGGCACCCAGCAGCAGGGAAGAGGCTGCCTGTGACTTACTGTTGGCTGAGCTCTCTTACTTCACACGGCTTGAAGCACCATTCTTTGGCCAGCTTTTCTTGTTGGGATGCTTCTTCTAAAAACACGATCTGTAAAGAAAAGAGAGAAAAAAAATCACAAATTAATGAACCATAGTCATTTGTTGTTATTGAATATCTAAATCTTTTTCAAAGGGACTAACCTGTAGTTGAGTTAATCTTAAAAGGTATTTGATACCAAATGGGACAGAGTTTAGAGGCAAAAAGACAGGAGTTTGCCTTTACTTACTCAAAGAAGTAATCTGCAGGAAATGTCTCCTTTTCTGCTATTCTACAGAGACAAGTACAGCTTCAAAAATTCTAATTTGAAGATAGAGGGAATTAAAAATGACTGACTGATACCTATTCCTCCCCACCCCACAAAATGATGAAAGGAAACCATTGCTTATAGAAAATGTACCTCCCTGCAGATGCCTATAAGATTTTTGTTAGGCTGTTATGGGAAACCCAAGTCCAGAGTACAGTAGGATATCATGGGGCAATTTACTAACACTGAATATAATTGCATGTAAAATTGATTGCTTGACAATTGAATCTTAGCATGAATTATGTTGATGTTCTGGTTCCAGACATCTGCGATAAAGATGTCTGCTATATTTTTCTAGCACTGTGTACGAGGCACTAGCAGAGTGCTCTCTTACGTGGGCTTCTGAGCCTGTGGGCCACAGCTGGGAAACCCTGGGTGGGTCTCTTAATCTCTCCTGGTCTGGTTTGCCCATCTGCAAACTGGGGATACTGTCGGTACATACATCACAGGGCTATCACAAGGACTAAATATGATAATTTCGATGAAAAAGTTAGCACCTCCCTGGGCAGTTAAATGCTATATACATTATATCTACTGTTGATTATTTTAGTACAGTGTGATTGCTTTCTCTGTAAAAATGGATTGTGAAGCCAGAACAAGAAAGAATGAAATATACATGCTGGAAATATCCTGCTTCATTTTAAAATGTGAGAATAAATGTTTCACAGAACATGAAATACTGAAAAAAACCTGGTAGATAAGATGTATCTAATATAGAATCAAGGCAATATATTGTGGGAAAAATAGTTTGTGAGACCGAAAATAAAATAAAACAAATGTCGACTACTTTTCAATTCATTGAAGATATCCTTTTTTTTGAAAGTTGAGATTTTTATCAGAAGACAACATGAAAATGTAATTCCTACTAAGGAAAGGTGATTTGATAATTCTAAAAATATATTTGAATCACAAATATCAAAGCAGATACAGAAGTAATCAAGACCCACAAAAATCAGAATTTATCAAACTCAGAGCTGGTTTACCATTAAGGCTGTAATTAAATAAAATATTTGTAAGGCATTACATTCACACATTTGAAAATACATTTGAAATAAATGATTTTTGAGGAAAATATAATGAAAATTTATTCTGGAAAGACAGGAAAACTGAATGAATCTAGTAACCCTAGAAGAAACAAAGGACATTTTATTAATCCTTTAGGAAAGCTCATGCTGTCTAATAGAAATATAATGCCTGTCATAAATGCAAGTGACATCTGTCATTTTTAATTTTCTTATACTACACTAAAAATGTAAAAGGCATCATCAGGTAAATTTAATAATGTGCTCTATTTAACAACATAGGTGGCCATGATAAAAGATTATCACATTAACATGAAATCAACATAGAAGTTATTAATTTTACTCTTTTGGCACTTAGTCTTTAAAACCCAGGGTCTGTTTTGCATTTAAAGTTCGTTTCAATCTGGTCGCTAAATTTTTATCAGATATACTTCATCTGTACAGCTAGGCTTTAGTTAATTTACTAAAAAATGTACCCACATACTCAGGCTGTTTCAAAAACAAGCTTTCCAAAACTGAGATGAGTATCAACTCTTAAACAGAAAATTATATTAAAAATAAAAACAAGAAATAATAAGTTAAAAAACATAGTTCCTCAGTCACACCAGACACATTTCAGGTGCTCAATATGTGCACACGGCTAGCAGCTGCTGTCTTGGGCAGTGCGTGTTTGGAGAATTTCACAGTAGAGCCCTTTCTACCACACAAAGAACATAGCCTTTACCTATGCTAACTAAAGAGCTACAGGGTATGGAAAACAACGAACACCTCTGTTTCCACATCTAGCTCAATCCCCACACCAAAACCTTACACAGCGCGCACACATATATGAACACAAATATGCAGAGAGCAAAAATTACAAGTCAGTGCCATTTGTTGTTTAGTAACACAGATGCAAAAATGATCCCAATGATATACTAGCAATAAAAAGTAAAAATGTATTAAAATAATAATTCAGAATATCCACAGCATGTTAGCCTCAATTGTTTTGACCAAGCAAGACATATCTACCAACTTAGAACAGGTGTCAGTACTGTGGTTGGGCAAGGAGACTGCTAGAATAAAATAAACCTATCAGCCCTCTTTTCTGTTGTCATCGACACTCATACCAGAACTGGCCTGCTCATCACATACACACCAGGAATCCTAATCTGTACCATTATCTTCATAAAGCTCTGTACTTCCTGTCCCCAGATGAGTTCCCACCACTCTCCACTTACCAAAAACCTTCACTGTGACCTCTTGTCACTGCCCCTCCGTAAGCAATAATCCCCTGTCTTCAGTGTGTCCTTCTGAGATTCCCCCTCCTAATAACTGGGGCTCTCATCCTGAGGACGTGGCTTCCCTTATGCTTCTCAGATGGCAGGTATTCATATTCATCAGGGTCAGGCAGTGAGTTTGGTACCTTTACTACCCACCAGGGCCATTTCCAAACCATTTTCCCTGCAGCTTCCTGCAAACAAAGCTCCTTCAAAACCTGCCCCTTTCAGCTTTCAAGAGAACTTCCCTCACATTTTATTGCTTTCTTTTACCAAACTTGCTCTCAGTTTCTGATTTGTTGATACCTGCCCACATTCTTTGTCTCCACTACAAGCCCTGCTTTTCCTAAAGTATCATCATGGACAACCCTTTGACCCCATGGCCACCTACTTCCATGAACTCATCCTCAGTGACTTGTGCATGAACAAATGAAGGTCATGGACTTCAGGTCACGGCCACACCTTGGACATGTTCATGACCCGTAACTGCTCCACCTCCAAAACTCCTGAAGCACACATCTGACCACAATTTCCTCACTTTCCCGTTTGCCATTTCAACTACTCCAACCCATCTTTCATCCTTTACATTCTCCCCAGTCCATTTTCCTTTTACAGCTTATAGTCCACCCTCTAGGATTTCATGTTTCTTATGTCTTTAAGTCAATAAACATCTATTAAAAGGTCAACCCAACTGAACCCAACTCTGAGCTGCACATGCAAAGTCACACAGCTGTGCAGCAAAGCACACAGCATGGCAGATGGAATGACCATAATCACCGAGGTCAAATGTACCCCTACCAATGCCTGTGTCCAGCCCCTAACATATTTCTCTAGAACTGTGATCTTTACTTTCAATAAACTTACAGAACTAACTGCTTAACCACTGACAGATCATTGCAAATATTTTTTGGTGCTAGATTAATATGTAATTTTTATCAAATAACTCAAAAAGAGCTCAACAATTGATACTGGTATAATAAAACTCCCCAATTCCCTTCTATTTGATTTATGTGAAAATGTTTCTAAGGATTTACATCTATAAAAAATGAAAATATAAAAAAAAATGATGCTGTCCCTATTTCATTCTAATGAGTAACACTCATCCATAGATAATCCATAGATATATTATCTAGTTGGAGGAAAAAAAAGTCTTTTTATTTTACATTTAACAAATCACCTTTCAAAATGTGTAATACACATTTTTTAATTTCCTTATGGTCCCAGAAAATTTTAAACATTTAAATTTATACACAGAAATTTTATTGCAATGTTGATCAATACAAGACTTTCAAATGTAAAACTACTATATTAGCACAACCTCTAGTGAAAGCAGAACAGAATTAATAATTCAAGAAGAAAAAGGGACTACATAGGATTTCAGATCATTAAAGAGTGAGTTCACAATCATTAAAAAAGAAATTAAGGTAAATATCGAATCACTATATTTTTATTCCATTAGATAAAAGTAATGTCACAGTTCAGTTTTAACACATATATATTTTACAATTTGCTACAATTATGGGCTTTATATGTATTTAAATTCAATAAATATTACATATGCCAACTTTTTGAAGTACAAAAGCATATAAACTGATTCAAAATTCTTTTAGGGGCATATTAGTTAAAAAAAAATGTGAAGAGCATTTCTCAAGTCAACTTATATTCCAGCCCTTCACCATGATACCTTCAAATCCACCTACTTTTTAAATCTCTCACTCCATTTATTTCAAAAGAGTACATCACACATGCACCATAGTGGAAAATTGCTAATAATTTCAAAGTCAGTCAATAAGGGATTGGTTAAATACGACTAAACACTACAGCAACTAAAAGTGGCACTGAAGATCAGTATTTACTGAATAGAAAATTATCCTTGATACAGTTTTAAGGTGCTTTCTAAAATGAAGGTTACTAGAGACCTTGTATGGTGCAATCGCATTTTTATAAGAACACAGTATGTGTGCTGGGGAGGTGTGTCTAAATGTGGACAGTGATTATTATCTCTTTACCATAGAATTTGGGGGTAATTTTTTTGCCTTCATCTTTACAGCCTTTTAGGTTCAAAATTGTTAATAATAAATGTTTTATTATAGCTAAAGAGGTAAAATTCATTCCATTTTATATGAATATGAAAATGTAAAGAAAAAAATGGAAATACAAAAATATAATCTCTAGTCATGGAGCCTATGGCTGGAGAGTGAAGACAGGTAGACAGATACTGAATGAGACCAGGAAGGAAGGTAGCGGACCCTGTGGTTCAGGTGGAAAGACAGTGGGTGTGGTCGGTGGAGGTTTCAAAGAAAAGGCAGAACTCCAAGGATGAGTAGGATTTGGTACTTGGTAAGTATCCAGGGTTAGAGGTAACGGGAAGGAAGAGGTAAACGGTGATAGCAGCAGAGGCACAAAAGCAAAAAGCTACAAGATATGTTACAAACAGGAGTATACTTTAAATACCATTGGAGC